GGGAATTTTCCACAAGAATCAATCTTGACTTGATTAATTACTATAGAGTAATGTGCTAAATAGAGTGTGTCCAGCCCTTTATCATGAATTGGTTTTAAAAAGAAATGAGTGCTATTTGTACCATAGAAATTTGTATTCGAGGAGCCCGGGAGCAAGAAATTAATCCTCACTTGAAAAGCTTGTAAAAAGGGGAACCGATCTTACACTTCCTAATTTATTGCAGTGTCTATTCTAGTTAAATGAAAACTCCACCTTGAGAGTGCATAGAGGTGTTTGACATTTCTTCCACTAAACTTACATTCTTATTATTACTACTTTATTGTAATTAGTTACAAAAATAAATATAGCAACAGTTAACGTAACTCAATTTCTTGATTTGGCCTCCATATGAGACTATAGGGATAACAATGGATCGACGCTCGCTTCGTTACGATACTTAGTGAACCCGCTCGTCCCGTGACCCGCACGGTATTGAATATATATTTACCCATGACCCGCACGGACCATTAGATGTTTCTATTTGCATGAAGTCATTATAACTTGATCAGTTTACATACAGTTTATTGTTAAATAATTATAAAAAATAAGTCATAAGTCTCAATACAAAGAAGGAAAAATAGTTCTAAATAGAACTAAACTAATCCCTAAATGCATAAATAGGACTTTGTTATTTATCTTCGCAAAATAGGGCTAAAGTATACCCTATCGTCCTATTCTACTCTTATCATAACCAACACTACAAGAAAATGTGTTTTTTGCGTCGACAATTTGTCGTCGCAAATGGCCTAAAGTCGACGCAAATACATCAATTGCGTCCACTAGTCGACGCGAATGTGTTGACACAAATGCTTGGACGTAAATAGTGTATTTGGGTCAACAACCGTCGACGCAAATGAGATTTATCTTTAGCGTCGACAGTGTGAACGCAAAAGACAGTATGCCTGGAAAAAAATAAAAAGTAGTATTTGTGTCGACATGTCGACGCAAAAGCCTCTATTTTTCTAAAAAAAATACAATATATTATTATTACTATTACTATTTCTACATCAAGCACTATATAAGTGTTATTAATGTTTTGAAATCTTACAAAACTCCAAAATACGCATACAACCCATACTTTAAGCATGCATTCTTAAATCTTTGTCCATCTACACTGCCCTTGTAACAAGAGTAGATAATCTCTGCAGAATCCTCAAACAAGAGCAACCACTTCGACTACAAAATCTGGATTGATATGATCTTCCAGTTAATAACAACACAAATAAAACAAACCTCAAATCACATTGATTAAGTGGATAGTAAGTAAATACATTTTTTTACTCCGTAAAAATTAAATATATTACTAAATGCAAAAAGACAAACACCCAGAAACCCCTACCAAAATGAAGTGAAAGGAAATTGGCACAAATAGAAGCAATGCTTGTGAAGTTCATAATCTGTACAACATCCAAATTGAAAGTCATGTACACTAGAAATAAAACATACACAAACCAATCTGCTGCAAGCATGAGACACTAATCTCACTTCCCATTGAGCCTTTCTATGACAGTGATAAGTCCTTGAATTCCATGCTTTCCATCCCCTTTGCCATAGGATAATCATATTTTAATTTATAATAAAAATATTTTAAAAGTATAATCATATTGCAATAGGATAATCATATTTTAATTTATAATAAAAACATAAAATAATAATAATAAATTGAATTGATAAAAGTAGTAAAATATATTAAAAAATCAAATACAAGTTTATAAAAAAAAATTCTTGAAATAAAAAAAAACTTCAAAAATAAATAAAAAAATAGATAAACACATTAAAAATTAAAAATAGGAGGCCTTTCCCGCAGCCTCGTCCACCTCCAGGAGTGCCAACTCCAATCTGCGAAAAAATGTCATTTGTGTTATAAAAAACAAATACTCATTGGAGTTGGCACTCCTGGAGGTGGCACGGATCGAAATTAATATTCGTTGCATATTTGAATTCGAATTCGTATTCGAAAAAATTAAACAAATACAAATACAAAATCTCATTATTCGACTCGATTCGGTTCGTATACAACCATAGTCCTATTTAGGGAATTTTTAAGTTATACTCATATTCTTGCAATTCAAGTTTCACTAGTTCTATTTGGAGAACTTCCCCTATAATGAAGTATCCAAATTTAAGAAGAAGTTATTAAACTTAAATAGTTAATCTAATTATATTAATAAATGAATCTGTTAAATGCTAAATATAGAAAAATATTGACAACTAGTGGTACAGTTCCCTCAAATTTAAACATTAATATATTACAAGACCAGGGAATTTATGATTTATTGCACACACATTTGTAGTATGAATTTTAAATTTATGTGTATATGTATGTATCAAATGGGGAGGGGCCGGACATCACGAGTCAATAGTTCAATACCAATAGTCAGACCCGCCCTATTTGCATCACGGGATGGATTTCACGGATTTGTCTTGCAACAAGTCGAGTCCTTACAGCCGTTTTTTTACATCTAATAAGAGGACCTCTTCTAATGTAGTGCAACTCAAAATTAGATAACCAATTTAGCCACATCAGCAAACTAACATTATGTTAAAATCTGTGAGTTAAGATTCTGTTACAATTTATAACATAAAGGAATGTAATAGTTTGTAAACAATATACGCTAAGATCAATACTATTGTACTTTATCTTCTCTATAATCTATCAATTCTAAATCTTCCATTACAGCTAGCTTAGTTCGAACTGGTTTGTCCATTATTTTACCTAGTTCCACATGTTAGCTGTGTAGGATCAATCTTCTGTGATTCATCCTGCATCATTGGTATCAAAGACGTTACAGAATCACCAAAATGACACTACTGTCATAGAGTTGGATGAAGTGATAAACAAAAAGTTTAGCAAAAATGATGAACAATTCAAGAATTTGAGTGGAAAGATGGAAGGTCTTGAGCAAATGATCCAAAATATGGCCAATTTGATAAAGAATAATCAAGATGATCGGCGCTAGAATATTCTTTATCAGGATCAATCGTCAACTGTTGTAATATGATTAGAATTGAATCTTTTACTACCAGATGCGCGAAAATTGACTTTCATAAATTTCATGGTGAAAATGTGAAGGAATGGTTATACAAATGTGAGCAGTTTTTTACCATTGATAGAATTCCAGCACATGTTAAGGTTTTTATGGCTTCCATGCATTAAGATGGTAAGACATTGTAGTGCCGTTATGCATTAATGAAAGATATAGAAAATTAATAATGACATAATTCAAAAGAGAACCATATGAAAAGAGAACCGATGGCAGTAGCATTTGCAAGCAAGAAATGGAGTCCTTATTTGCTCAATAAACATTTCATCATCAAGACTGATCAAAAGAGCCTTAAATATTTACCGGAACAAAGGATTACTAATCCTCGCAACAAGATTGGATGGCTAAACTAATGGGATATGATTTTGAAAAACATTACAAGAAAGGACATGATAATAAGGTTGTGGATGCACTCTCAAGAAAAGGTGGGATGTCTGATTATTCTCAGCTTTTTCATATGATTCTACATCAGATACAGATTGATATGCTACAACAACTCAAGTTATCTCAGGAGAATGATACTGCTTTACCGAAGATAATTGAAAATTTGAAGGCTGACTCATCATCTCATATGTATTACAGTTGGAAGAATGGTGAACTCATAAGAAAAAAAAATTGGTTGTTGGTGCATAGGTTGAGCTCAAGAAAAAGTTGACGCACTGGGCTCAAGATTCACCAGTTGGAGGGCATTCTGGTAGAGATTCTACCATTCAAAGACTAAAATCCCTATCTTACTGGAGATGCATGTTTAAAGATGTTCAAAGGTACATTAGAGCTTGTGATGTGTGTCAAAGATGTAAATATGATCCCGCTGCCTATCCAGGACTTTTACAACTACTTCATGTACCTTCAAAAGTTTGGGCTGCTATCATCATGGATTTCATTGAAGGTTTGCCATAATTCAATGGTAAAGAAGTAATTCTGATCTGGTGGTTGTAGATAAACTAAGTAAAGCTGCACATTTTTTTAGCTTTATCACATCCATTTTCTGCAATTGAAGTGGCCCAAGCTTATATGGATAATGTTTTTAAGCTTCATGGTATGCCTGAATCAATTGTAAGTGATAGAGATCCAATATTCCTTAGCAATTTCTGGACTGAATTATTCAAATTACAAGGTGTGAAGCTACTTAAATCTACTGCATATCACCCACCAACAAATGGACAGACTTAAGTTGTTAATAGGTGTCTTGAGACTTACTTAAGGTGTATGGGCAACACTCATCCACAGACATGGAGTAAGTGGTTACCATTAGCTGAATGGTGGTATATTACTTCTTTTCGTACAGCTACTAAAACTACTCCTTATGAAGTACTCTTTGGTCAACCTCCACTGCTTCATCTAACTTACTTGTTTGGGGAGTCATATAATGAGGCAGTAGATAGAAGTCTGATTCAAAGGGAAAATATGATGAAAGAGTTACAGCTACAGTTAGAAAGAGCATGGAACCGGATAAAACAATTAGCTGATGTTCATAAAATTGAAAGATTATTTTAGTTAGGTGATTGGGTGTATTTGAAGTTGCAAAATCATAGACAAAATGCTAAATTGGCTCCTAAGTATTTTGGGCCTTTTCAGATTATTGATACAATTGGAAAGGTGGCTTACAAGTTAGGATTACCACTTGGGGTCTCAAATACACAATGTATTTCATGTTAGCCAACTTAAGAGATGCATTGATCCTTCTCCTTTAGCAGCTAATCTTCCACAGTTTTTTCATGACACTAGTTTACCTAAAGTTCCTGGAGAAATTTTGGAGAGGAGAATGGTAAAAAGGAGGAATATGGCTGCAACTCAATTTTTGGTTCTGTGGCAAGGAAGACCTACGGAAAAGGCTTCTTGGATGTTTGCTGAAGAATTTATCCAAAAGTTTCCATCTTTTCAGCTTTGAGGACAAAGCTATTGAAGCAAGGGAGTTATGATGCTGTGCAACTCAAAATTAGATAACCAATTAGCCACATCAGCAAACCAAGATCCTATTAAAATCTGTTAGTTACAATTCTTTTTCAATTTAGCATATAAAGGAATGTAATAGTCTGTAAACAATATATGTTGAGATCAAAACTATTCTACTTCATCTTCTCTATCATCTATCAATTCTAAATCTTCCATTACACCTAGCTTAGTTCGAACTAGTTTCTCCATTATACTATCCAGTTCCACAGGTTAGCTTTGTAGGAGCAATCTTCTGTGATTCATCGTGCATCATCTTCTTTGTCAGCGGAGGCGTGGTTGCAGAAGCCAATAATGATCTATCAAAGAAAAGAGGGTGGTCTCCCCTTGTGGAACCTCCGATGTGCAGTTCTCAATAGTCAATACATCTTTATATCTTGGCAAACTTTTAGTGATATTTTAAAATTTTACATCCTCATTTTCATGGATTAAAATGCAAATAATAGAACTTCTTATACCACCACGATAGAAATTTCCGAATAAGAATCCACAAACATATTGTTACATGTTACAGCCTGCCTTACAGGTATCCCCAAACTATTTGAGATTGCACATATTGTATCCATCTATTCAACTCAAGTAAAACTTCAGCTCCTCAGGAAGCGTTGAGCACGGCCAGTGAGGGTTGTTTGCCAAGTCAAATTTGTGGCATCCCGTTACTCATGGCCTTCAATCTCCCTCTTCAACAACTCCATGAAGATATCACTCCACGAATCAATCGGCCCGGGCAAACACCAATGCACACAGTCATTAAACATGGTGACATTCGGATTCTGCCAGTGACCGTATTTATTAGGGTGCCCGTCTGGTCTCAACCTCATCGCATGTGTTACGTCAAACAATCTATATTTCACCCCCTTTTTCGTCCCTTCGTCCTTTGCAATTCTAAACTCTTGCCTCTGAATATCATACATGTCTATCTCAATTTTGTTCAAGATGGTATCATTCCGCTGAAATGGCTCCGTCCTCACACATTCTCCGCCTTGGTCAAAACTACCATGTTCGAAGTGTTGTGGGACAAATGACCTCAAGAATGCGACTCCCTTGAAATTTTCCAAACTATTGATTGCTCGAAATGCCGTTCTTAGAGCCCATCTATAGCTGAAGTCTTTCGCCATGTGGGTTACATTGGTTTCTCGACAATAGAGGCAGCCAACGAGGTGACGGTCTATATAAAAGTTTGTAGGACGGAAAAACCAGTGGCCAGCATTAATAATTACAAAGTCAAAAGCTCCAATCTTTGTTGTCCAGGATTCATCAAATTCATCTAGATATAGATTGAATGGGTTAACATTATTCTCATTGAAAGTGATGCCAGTTTTGACCAAATATGGTGCCCAAAACATGGATATGTTGAAGTTGTAATCTTTGTATACCAGACGCTTCCGGTTATCATCTGTTGTGTTTGAAATGTCCATCGGATAAGCAACCTGGAAATTTTTAACAGAACATAATTGAAATATGTTAATACATATATTCATGATATGTGGGCTTGAACCAGTAAGACATAGCAATGAACCATGTGGGAAATCTGCTAGCATGTCTCTCTGAAATTATAGTAATTTTAAGGTTTTGGATAATATATTTCAACTTCATCTTAACACGATTTTTCAAAATTTCTGCAGCACATTCAAAATTGTAAACATTGTTTGTATTGACAGGTATACATATTAAGGACTTGGGAATCTATCAATTCAAGTCTCATAAGAGGGGTAGTAGAGAACCTTATGAGTTAGTTTTTTTTTATACATGCCTATCTGGGATCTGGGATGGCTTCAGAATGTGTGCAAAAAGGACTAAATACTTAAGTTAAACACATAGTTAACACCATCTCAAATGAAGAAAAAAAAACATATCAATTTAAAAAAACAAATCAACATTTTACAGATGTTGTAAAATGCTCTTGGCTGGGACCCATCGGGTTAGGTGGGGTCTAAGTGAAATTACATGGGCCAACCAGGAAAAAGAATTGAGCACCACATGACACCTAGCAGGTCTGTTTTAAATGCCAAGGAAATCCGGGTGCTATTTACAAAAACTAGGCCTTATATAAACAAGTACATACAAAATGCTATAGTATTACACATTGTCTTTTATACAACAAAGCATCAAAACTGTAAAATACTTCCTCTGTATGGATAATAAACCTTCTAAATGAAAAACTATTCTCCAAGCATTATTAGTCAACGAATTCTTGATATTTTCAAAAAAAAGGGAGCCTTTAGTTTAGTAGGTATCCAGATTTGCACATAGGCGGGGAGGGATTTTTACAACAAGGTCTAGAACTATATGCTACTATGTTTATGGGTATTCTTATTTTTCATGAGCACAAAACAGAATTGTTGGACGGAGAAAGCAAGAGAGTAAAATGTAGTGTACTATGGCTATGTCATCAGGTAAGAAAATTCATACTCATTAGAATATTGAGCTTCACATCATGCTAGATAGCACCTCAATTATTAGAAGTATTAATACGGAGTACTATATTAGAGCATACTGCCTCCGTCCCCTTTTAAATGTCCCAGAGGAGGGTGGCACGGGTTTTAAGGAAAGTGGGTTTGTGTGGTTGATATTAATTGATAAAGTAAAAATAAAGTAAGAATGATTTTGAGCCACACAAACTTTACCAAATAAGGTATGAGACATTTAAATAGGGACATACCAATATGGTAAAACGGGACATTTAAAAGGGGACGGAGGGAGTATCATTTTGTTCATATTCCTACTAGAATCCACTCCGTTTACATCTACAAATCCTGTCCCACTCAGTTTACAGCTATGAACAGGCTGTCCCTTTCTTTCCAAATAAATGAACTAATACAAAAACACATTTGTAAAACTACAGATTCATAATATTGTTAAAAATTACATCTTTCCTACTCTCCATAGATCTAGCGACAAACTCAGCATAGTGGGTTAATCTTGTATTTCATTTCTGAGTGAATGTGATTTGCGAAATTAACCTAGTAATTCAATGTCTCTTTACCATCTATAGCAATTGTGTCAATGTTAGGTAGACGGTGTTCTTTTTACTCAAACCGAATGTAGTAAAAAGCAATGGTAAATTACGCATTAAGCTAAATCAGCCATAAAAGTTACTGTTTTGAAAAGAAACTCTCAGACAAGGTTGATAAGCCAAAATGGTTACCAAAACAGGAATTATGAACACAAATCAGATTCATAAATGACACTACAAATAGCAGAATTCCAAGTAATTGAGAGTAAAGTAAAAAATGGAAGTAAAAACTCAAGGTATCCATTGGATAGAGAGAATTACCCTTGATAGGAGGCAAACAAGTGACTGCATATGATTTCTTGCAATGGAATCTCCAACAAAAGCTAAAGATTTGCCTCTTACAAGCTCCAAGAACTCATGAGGGTCAAAAATTGGCAACTCACATCCATCAGGCTTCCACCTCCATTTCAAGTACCCATCATCAGGCCTACCAAATTTCATACAGTTCTGATGCTCTTGGATACTAAAGCAAGTATTATTCGTGTAATAAGGCGCATCAGGATTAGGAACCCATTCTCCAGTAAAGATGTCACATTTCTCGAACCCCTCTCTGCTGACGTTTTTCGCATCCAGATTTGTTGGATGAAGTTGAAGTTCCACACCCTTTTCCACTCCAGACGCTATGGGCAGATCTTGGGGAGGAGAAAGATTAAAACTTGCGAGAGCTGGAACACTTTTGTTCTCCGCTTCCTGCTTTTGAGGAAAGATTTGCCCTTTTTGCTGATCTTCCGGCGTGGGAAGACGAAAACTTGTCTCCGCTACCGACTTCTCCGGCAACTCTTGTGGGTGATCTTTGCACCGGATAGGGAAGTACAACGGGCAGACGGTGAGAAAGATTAAAAGAAGGGCGAGGAGTGGGATTATCTTCGGACTGTTCAAGAAAGTTGCCTTCTTGGCAGAGGTAAGCTCCATGGACGAGAGATCGGACATGGAGGAGGAGTGACAGACGAGGATGGGAAGGAAAGGGGTTGCGCCGACTCGACGAGTGGTCAAAGAGGTGGGTTTCATTAAGGCTGGGTGGTTATTGTGGGGGCTCCGGTCGGTATATATACTAATCGCGCGCTAAGCTTGGGAAATGTAAATCATTGGAACGGTAATTATCTTTGTGTACAGTCTACTACCACGTGAAGCTGCTGCGTTTAATCATGCCACCACCAGTCTTACCACTACTAACATGCTACTCCATACTAAGAATCAACTTACCACTACTAACATGCTACTCCATACTAAGAATCAATTTTCTACATTATTGTGCACACTTTTATATCCATCTTATAAATCACTATGTTTGTGATGAGTTTTATTGTCCGTGAATCGAATTTATAGACAAAATAATTTGCACGGACATATTTCGTCTGTGACCGGGATTCACACACAAAAAAACTTTACACAAATATGATGTGTATAAAAGTGGATACAAGTGTGAGTAGAAACAACTTGTTTGATTTTATTTTGTAATTTCCTTGAAGAAAAAAATTCACCTTCAAAAACTCTCTTTATACACACACTATAAAAGGAACCTTAAATTTTTACCTTCTTTTATTTCTTACGATTTACCCTTCTTTAGTCTCTCCCTCTTCCCCTCTTTTTTCTTTTACCATCTCTACCTCCCTCTTCTCCCTTTCTTCTTTTTAATTTCCATGCCTTTTTTTTTCTTTTTACTCCAGAGGGTCTGGGGAAGGGGGCTGGGGAGGCTGGAGTGATCAGGGCTGAGCTGGGCTGGAATGCTTGGTTTTTTAATTTCCATTCCATTTTCCTCATTCTTCTTCTTTTGTTTCTTGTTGCACCAACACAAAGGCTCGTCGTTTCAGCCACCAACACCGACCTTACGGTTATATAATCTTTTCTCCTTGAGTCCGACTATTCAAGTCTGAGCAGGTTGGTTGCAGCTGGAATGGATGCAGATGAAGAGGATGAGATGTCTGTTTGTGCTGCTCAAACAAGAAGATCCGATCAACCAGCACATAATATTGAGGTAATAATTTATTTTGATTTTTATATGTGCATTTTAGGGTTTCATTTATTGAAAATTTTAGACTTTTTATGTATTAGGTATGGTTTAACAGTTAATGGTTGAGTATTTTGTATTACTAGATTTCCACCCGTGCGTTGCACGGGATGTATTTCATAAATATTGGTACTATATACTATGTAGTTTACTATATGGAAAATAAGGTGTAAGAATTGTAAAATGTTGTACGGTGTAAAAGTACCATTAGATTCATTAATTGTACATACATTTAAATATATATTGACTTTGTGCGACGTTTCTCTACTCTGTATCACGTAACTGTACAAATATAGTTGACACACATTTAAAGTAATTATAAATTAAACTTTATTGAAACAAAAGTATTTGACAATTGGAGAATACAATTTCAAGAAGGTAATTTATTGTTCATTTTAAGATAACTGTAGACATTTGGAGAAATATTTGACTATATTATTCAAGTCGGAGATTTGTTAAATGGAATCATTTTTATTATTATTTTAATTTTTATCCATTGATGCTATTTAGGTTCTTAGAAAACCAATGTTTTAGTTTTCTATATTTAGATTCTTAGAAAACCAATGTTTTAGTTTTCTATTGTGAACCTGAAGTCCCACATCACTCCAACAACATGTTGTGTGTTTATAAGCAGGGCTTGAAGTCGTCACTTGTGGACGCGTTTTAAAGTTGTGAGGTCCTGAAGTACCAAAGCGAACAATCATTATAGGCTGTTTATAACACGTTATCAGCACAATGCTCGCGATGGGAGGGTGTGTTGTGAACCTGAAGTTCCCACATCGCTCGCACAATGAAGTTGTGTGCGTGCTTATAAGCAGGGCCTGAAGCCTTTACTTGTGGACGTGTTTTAAAGTCGTGAGTTTCTAAAGTACCAAAGTGGACAATATCCACAACTGTTTATAACATTTTCACAAATTTAGCTAATTTTTCCTTCTTAAAAAACTGAAATTGGAAGCATTGATTGTGGTTCTATTTTACAATAATCGGAAGTCGTTTGACTGATTCCAAGCACCACTTTAGTGAACACATCTGGTTAAACTTTTTTCGTTTTCCAAACTTAGTTCGATTGAACATCAAGTTCATCCTTATTTGCGAATTGCTATGGCTAGTGTTCTAAAAGGCTTCATAAAGCGCCGCCCAAACGCTCTTCATGTACGCATGGCAAAAGGCGGCTTTAAGGCATGTACCCGTGTGATGCACGGGTCAAAACTTTTATTATATTTTGACCAACATATTAAATAAATGAAAATGTTGATGTAAACTATGTTTAGTTTTAAAGAAAATTAAGCAATTGAAATAAAGGGAACATACACGAATTGTTAAACTAAATCTTCAAATAAACTTAAACACAAAGAAGAAACAATGAAATAATTTCAAATATTTAAACAAAATAAAAGTAGTAGATAAAAAGGTGACCCTGATATTATTAATGACTAAACATTATGTGATTATGCAACTTACACATGGTAATATATAATATAGTCACATTTTGTCCATAAATTTGTATTAGTAATACGTTAGTAAAAACCTCTAGTCTCTAGAAATCATATGCAATACAAAATACATTCATTAATAGATAATTTGATATTATTGGTTAGATAAAAAATAGTCTGTTTAGTTACATTTGCGCATACACAATTAATTATTTATTCCTTTTCATACACGATTAAGACCTTGAAGAATAAAAAGGATAATAATTAGGATGTAGTACTAATTAAAACTTGCTAGAGCACTTTAGTTTTTACTAATTATCTTTTTGTTGTTCAAATTAAAATCTTTACCATGTATAAAAATCATATGCATGTGCGCGCGCCATGAATCGAGAGAGAAGTCGTGTTATTTTCTATATTTATATAATATGTTAATTAATTTTTTGTTTTGAGTGGTGTTTGTTTGACACATACCTCCATAGCAACAAATCCACAATGGATATACATTATTAGAATTAGAAAGAAAAGAGAAACTCGCCAACTCAATTCTTTAACGATGCATACATACAGAAGGTTATTGAAACTTACGTGAATATTTTCTATTAATTGTAGACCATGTGAAATAGAAACTGCTTTTATGACCGGCCACTTAGATTTTGTCCAGTCGTGACTTTTGGCAGGAGCAGCCAAGCAATTATTATTTTGGAAAACATTGGCGGGAGCAGTTATGCCTTTGGTTTCCCTTTTTATATTAGTATAGATTTATATAATATGTTAATTAATTTTTTGTTTTGAGTGGTGTTTGTTTCACACATACCTCCATAGCAACAAATCCACAATGGATATACATTATTAGAATTAGAAAGAAAAGAGAAACTCACCAACTCAATTCTCTAACGATGCATACATACGGAAGGTTATTGAAACTTACGTGAATATTTTCTATTAATTGTAGACCATGTGTAATAGAAACTGCTTTTATGACCGGCCACTTAGATTTTGTCCAGTCGTGACTTTTGGCAGGAGCAGCCAAGCAATTATTATTTTGGAAAACATTGGCGGGAGCAGTTATGCCATTGGTTTCCCTTTTTATATTAGTATAGAATTATATAATATGTTAATTAATTTTTTGTTTTGAGTGGTGTTTGTTTGACACATACCTCCATAGCAACAAATCCACAATGGATATACATTATTAGAATTAGAAAGAAAAGAGAAACTCACCAACTCAATTCTTTAACGATGCATACATACGGAAGGTTATTGAAACTTACGTGAATATTTTCTATTAATTGTAGACCATGTGTAATAGAAACTGCTTTTATGACCGGCCACTTAGATTTTGTCCAGTCGTGACTTTTGGCAGGAGCTGCCAAGCAATTATTATTTTGGAAAACATTGGCGGGAGCAGTTATGCCTTTGGTTTCCCTTTTTATATTAGTATAGATTACTTATTGCTTATTCGTGTTTTATTCAGATCAGATCAGATCAGAAATATTCAGATCAGATCATATCAGATCAGAAAGATTAAGATCAGATCAGATCAGAAACATTCAGATCAGATCAGAAAGATTTAGATCAGATCAGAAAGATTCAGATCAGATCAGAAACATTCAGACCAGAAAAGTTCAAACATGATTTATCACAGTTATTATTATATTAATTATTATTATTATTATTATTATTATTATTATTATTATTATTATTATTATTATTATTATTATGTGTTCGTGTAACATGTATGCTTCGTAAAGATGTACCGTGTGCTTTATTTCTAATTTTCTTTTTTTATCAATTTAAATAATGATATAATTATTTTTATTGAGTATTTTATTTTATTATTATGCTTTTCCTAGATTGTTATGTTCGACTTATTCTTATTACTTATTGTTTATTTTTATTTTATTCAGATCAGATCAGAAAAATTCAGATCAGATCAGATCAGTTCAGATCAGAAAGATTCAGATCAGATCAGAAGCCTTCAGATCACATCAGAAAGATTCAGATCAGATCAGATTAGATCAGAAACATTTAGGTGAGATCAGAAAAGTTCAAACATCATTAATCATTTTTATTATAATAATAATAACAATAATAATAATATTAATAATAATAATAATATTTATTATTATAATTATAAGTATAATTATAATTATTATTAT